AGCGACACAATTAAATGAATATTCCAGCACTGCGACATGTGAGGAGTAAAGTAAATCGATCAGCAGAAGGTCGCAGAGACAAAACCGAACTCACTATCGACGATGTGGAGAATCGTGCTGAAAGGGTCGATTCAGTGGATGTCGTTTTGTATGCCGCATAGAAGGTGTAATAGCAGGTCAGGAATACAAACGCCTTTCAGTGCCAAAAGGAATGACCAGTGGACTATGGGGTCAAGGGTAGATTTCAGATCTGCATAGGCCACGCCGTGTACTAGGAGGTTATTTGATGCAAGGATCATATCCGTTGTCGGCCGGATGCTGTGGTGCCTGGCAAAAAGGGGTTAAACCTAACCAACAGAACATGTGTGAAAATCAATCATGCCAACAACCTCATATGCACCTCACAGCACATCACGGGTGCCCATTTTAATATGGAGATGTATACTCCTTGCCTTGTTTTGCACCGTACCATTAGTTCCGGAAAAGCAGATCTAAGAAACACGTCGTAGTGCAGATTCGCTGGCTTCTTCAGCGTAAAGGACTGACTTTCTAAGGTGAATATGGCAGCACTGTGATCGACTTGAGTTTGTCGTAACGCGTCCGGAGAGAGGTAGCCAACGTAGGCAAACTTTCCTGAAAACGTACATTTAGTTAATGAGCAAAATTTGGCATATATTTCACCGTGAAGGCTGCCGCTACTGTCGGCTGGTATGCCGGTCAAAGCGTTACCAATTCGACCGTGTCCAACCTTCCAACCTTCGGTAATTGACTTGGGATCGGTCAGCGCGCGATACGAACATGTGTTTCCTGCGACATGAAATTGCGTTATGATCATGAAATTTTGGAAGTGGGCTTTGTATGCAGTTCAGAAACGAGCAAATATTTATCCGTAGGTACGAGGTGCACTTCCTAAGGTTGAGGTTGCTGCAATTACAGGTGCTTTGCCGATATGTGACTGAGAGATCCAAACAACACAAATGTTAACACGTTGTAAAGTATAGAAAAAAACTGTTTTACCAAAAATAAGCTGTTGATATAGGTTTGCCAGCAAACCAGTGAACTATTGTTTCAAAACAGTTTGACTTTCTGTGCCTTATCATAAATCCGTTTACACTTCACTCTGTCACATGCCTGAAGTGTGAGAATCAAATGAGTTCCTTGTTGTACCGTTGAGGGCCTCAATATATTTTAAAAATAATGTGTTCCAACTGTTTAAACTACGGACTACCGGCATTATATGAATCAACAGTTGAAGAATTTATCAATTCGCCTCAGGTAGCTGACATTTTAGCCTCAGGAATAAGTACGCGGTTTTACAGTAGGTTCAGCCGATTAGGCAATGCAAACGGCAGGCTTCTTTCTCTTGTCCTGGAGAACAGGTAGTAAATAAATTTAATGATCATATGACAGGGAAGAGCATTATGGCAGTCACGAAGAAATGTTGTGAAACTCAAAATGGCTGGTTAACGAAATGTTGCTAAGCGGAGGGGGCAAACCTTGTGCTCACAATACAGCCCATCTAGAAGAGAGTCACTCTGGCTAAAAGTTTTCCAAACTTAACGATCTAGCGAGATAATATATGTTAATTTTGAATAATTTTAGATAATTCTTGAAGAAAACATGAAAATACGGGAAGCAAAATCTTTTAAGGCACATCGGTTATATAGTAAACAAAAACGACGACTCATTTAAATAGACCAAGAGGAAGAACTAAACTACAGAACGCAGTTGGCATTGAGAAATGAATCTCGTGCTTGCCTCAAATTTATGTATCATGGTGTCAATTACACAAAATCATTTATATCATGGCAGCGCATTATGCACAATAGTATGTCGATTAGAGCTGAAAAAAATCAAAGAGTCTGTTGAACAGAAATGACCATCTAAATAGAAGCTGGTATGTAGCGCTCATGTGTCAACGAATTACTCACTGATCAATATGAGACAATTACTATGCACTATTTTACTCGTCAACAGGAGACAACGTCAGCCGTAACAAAGAGACG